CACCCCCTCCACCCCCTCCAGCTGAGCTGACCAACGGGCTGGTGGCACTGCCCAGCCGGCTGCGCAGGATGAACGGCAACAGCTACATGCTCCTGAGGCAGAGTGACAATGGAGTGGCAGCAGGGCCATGTTCCTTTGCTGAGGAGCTCAGCCGCATCCTGGAGAAGAGGAAACACACGCAACTCGTAGAACAGCTTGATGAGAGCTCTGTCTGAGCCATTTCCAAGACAAATGTTCTCCCAAGTCAGCCCATCAGCCCGTCAGCCCCGGGCTGGGCCACTGCCTCCCCGCTGCAGCCACCCCACCTTCACATCCCCCTCTCCAGACCCTTCTCCCAACTTTTTGATGTCCCTGTAGGGCTGGCTAGAGTCAGGCCCAACCCAACCCCCTCCTCAGTCTCCACAGACCCATGTGAGCAGCCCAGGCCCACCGGTGCTCCTCAGAGGTAGGTGTACCCCAAGACTGGGGCTCTGCAGAACCAGCCCTGATTCCTCGCCCTTCACCCCAAGCACTAGGAGGAGAGGATTCCATCCTCCTGCCCCATTTATCTGCCCAAACCCTCCATTTCTCTCAGGCAGGGCTCTGCAGGTCCAGATGGCCTCGTGTCACCACGCTCTGCATGGCCCTGCGTGCTGGATGGTCCTGAAGCCAGAGACTTCTGCCAGGCACCAAAGTCACCTGAGTCCTATGTCCATTCACATGTGCACATGGAAGAGTGTCAATCTGCTGGGCTGCAGTGCCCCCACCCTGCCTTCTCCTGGTGCATCCTAGTCTTTCATCCTCTAGACTTGGGTGCCCTCCCAACTGGCACATTCCATCTTATCTCATCCCCTCCTCCAGTCCCAGCCCTTTGTAGTGACCTTTGGCAAGAGCTTGGCCACATGCCAGCCTGAGGGAAGACTGTACCATCCCCCTCTTCTCCCTTCCTGTGTACCCATGAGTCCGCCTCCCCACTTCCCTTGATCACTCTCGAGTGGCAGACAGAGCTCCAAGCATGTCCCTTCTTCACACACATGGTAACACATGTACCACCAACATGCTTACATTTCCATTCACATGTACTTGAGCCTTCCCTTGCCGCCACAGACGTTCTGCCGGCTTTGGTCCATGGACATATCAGAGGGATGTCCCCCTCCTGTTCCATTGTCCTTGCAGACCCTTCCCTAGGATGGGTGACCAACACTGCACTCAATGAGCCAGCCACCCTTTTGGGAATCAAGCATTTACTGTCCCCAGACCAGCACAGGGGAAGGAAGGCGTGATCTGATGTCCCCTGGCACATGAAGCCCTTTCTTGGAACTATGCAAAGGGCAGAGGCTGGGAGTTTAGATGCTTGGCTCCCATCCCTGTCCTACCTCACCGGGGCACTTTTAGGGTCCAAGGATATGAGGTCTCCAGGCCCATAAGGGACAATCAAATCCTGACTGAGCTCCCCCAGTCCCTTTGGATGAGGATGACTGTTATTTTTGTAGCCAAGAACGTGGAATTCCACGGGTTTTTACTGCCCTTCCCCCAGCTTCCCCCACCTCTCCCCTACAATGAATGTAGTTATTGTAAGAATGGCTGTACTTTAGGAATGCCCCACTCACCATCCAGGTGGGTGGAACAGGCATGTGACAGAGTGGGGAGCCTGGGCTCAGCTCCTCCCCCCGTCGGTTAATAAATACCCTTTTTCCCATTGCTGTGAGTGGTCTGCCTGGTCTTTTCCCGGTGCTCGGGACCGGTTCTGAGCCTGTGGAGGTGCTGCAGTGATTCTGCATCCAGGATTGGCTGTGCTCTGTTGAACCATTTACACAGGAAACTGGGATCCTCAGCTTCCATCCTAACTACCCTGGGCTCCCAATAGTCACTGATCATGGTGACAAGGGCACAACACAGGAGTTACGACCATTCAAGAATTCATACAACAGTGTCCAAGGTGTTTACTTCCTACCTCTTGTTAGCTAAGGCTAAAGGATGCTCCTTATTTAAAGTGAAGGATCAACAAATGCAGGCAAACCCACAATGAGATTGAGTGACATAGTGGCAGCAATATGGGCTTAAACATTAAAAATTAGAAGGCTGGCACAGGACTGGGCAGTGCTTCATTCTGTTGTACATGGAGTTGCTATGAGTCAGAAAGGAGATCTGGTACTGTAGTGGTTACAAGGTGGGCTGCTAACCTCAAGGTCAGCAGTTCGAACCTACCAGCCATTCATCAGGAAAGATAAGCCTTTCTGGCCCTATAAAAATTTACAGCCTATACGGGATTGCTGAGTTGGAACCAAATCCAAGGCACATCACCACCACCACGAGTCAGAGTCAACTTGATGGCACCTTAGTAACAACATAATTTATCAGCCCTCCTATTCTTCCCCAAGCAGCTTTCCGGAACTCCTGTGCCCCCAAGAAGACATTCATATTCGAACAAAGGACCTGTCTAGAGAGGGTAGGGTACGGCAACTGGAGGGGAGTAAAGATTGTTACCAGGGTCTTGGCCTGAGAATCATTCCATTGCCGGGGTCAGGCCTAGATTAATCACATGGCCTTTGACAACAACCACCCTGAAGCTGTATAATGTGCTGCCTATGGTTTTAGAATATTGTGAAACAGGGCTTATATTTAATATATGCAAACACTTTGAATAAAATTCTTGGATAGTGCCTTGTTAAGGAAGTTTATTAAGCGCAGTTTCCGCATCTGTACACAAACCTTTCCCCATATTCATAAAGTGCCTAACTCTGGCTGAATGGTGGCAGCAGTAAGACACCAGGATTCTTCAGAAGCCAGACTTAAGATCTTCACCATGTTTTGAGATGATTATTTATCAATTTGGATTCCAGAAAATGCAAGCCCTGTGAAATTATTGAAAGCTTCCTTCCATCTGGGGACTACGGGGCTCACAGTCACTGTTCCGAGCAGAGGGCACTGAATAGAAACGGACAACTCTTGATCCGTTTGAGCTAAGAGTTTTAGCGCCAACTTCCGGGTGCGTGAGTTCCATTTGTCCGCTTGGACTCTCCGAGTGAGCGGAGCCACAGTCACTGCACTGGCCCTCCGGCCTCTCGGGGGCGCAGCCGACCAGGTGCTGTGGGTTTGTTGGTGAAGGGGTGCCACTGGCCCTGGATGCTGGGGCTGTCCGTGTGGAAGGGCTTGCGGATGCGGATGACATCGAGTCCAGACTGGTTGGCCAGCTTCTGCACCAACTTTGCAATCTCCTCGGCGGACTTGCAGTGGATGCTCTCCTCGCGCACTGCTCCGTTAACTGGTCCAAGGAAAGGTGACAGTGAGCGGAAGGGGACCCGGAGGAGACCTGGCCGAGCCCCGAATCCCGCCCAACTCCAGCCCCAATCCGCGGGCCGAACCACTCACGGTATTCCGCAACTACTCTAGGCACGTAGCACGGCCGAGGGTTCACGTAAATGACGACCCCTGGGTTCCGCCGAGCGAAGCTGGTCACCTCCCGCTCCACGAAGTCCCTGAAGACCGACAAGAGTGAGCACCGAGGACCCAGATCCTGGCGACCTCGGGCCGGCGACCCATCCCTGCCCTCCTCCCGGCTCACCTGGCGCCGCGAGACGAGGGCGCGTCGCGACTGAGGCTGAAGCTGAGACGCTGCAGCTGCTGCACGTAGCGACCGAGGCCGTTATGGAGGACACTGGTCAAGAAACGACTCGCAGTGCCGCGGGCCGTCATGGCGGCAGCTGAGAGGCTGTGGAGCCCACCAGCGAGGAGGTGGGGCGGGACGAATTCCCGGAACTTCCGGTTCTGAAGAACCTCGGCGGAGTTTTGCTTCCGAGGTTAAGAAGAGTGGCGCGTGCGGATGACCCACGTTGCGGGCGTGAGGGGTGAGAGGAAAGTGGAGCCTCGAGCCGCGGAGCACCTGGTGGAACCGAGGGAGGACACGGGGTGGCTAGGGAGGTGGGCTCAGAGATGGCTTGGCGCAGGGAGACGCGCTAGTCGTGTTGAGAGGTCCATTGAATGGAAGAAGCCGCTAAGAGGGCTCTAGTTGGGGGGCCCACAGCAGAGAAGTTGCAAAAGGATGTAGATAACTTTATAGGCTCTTTGATGGAGATGAGGGCGAGACGATCCCAGGGAGGAACATAAAGGTTTGATGAGAGCTGGCAGAGAGAAACTGTAAAGGACCCATGTAGAGGGACATCGACGTGAAAGAGGAAACTTTGGGTGGCGCAGATGGTCAGGAGCTGGCTACTAGCCAAAAAGTTGTCTGTGGAAACCCACACAGAGGAAGCTCGAAGACAGGCCTGGTGGTGAGCCTTGTGACCTAAAATGTCACAGCCTTGAAAAACCCTGTGGAGCAGTTCTACTCAGCACACCTGCGGCTAGCATGAAGCCCAACCACTCGTAGCGCTAACACTAAAGGTAGTGGGTATTTAAGATGTGAACTGGCAGTGTCAGAGGGCCCAGAGGAAAGTGAGTGGGGAGAAGTCTGAGAAGAGAAGAAGCCACCCACAGTGAGTGACTTCTGTAGCGTGCTGTGAGCAGCTCTGTGGAGTCTGGTCTTTGAAGGCGCCAGAACCCGGCACCTAAGGCATTTCCAGCACTGACTTTATTTGACCAGGAATGTGGGTCCTCCTCCGAGGGGCATACCCCCTCCGAACCCTGCTGCCCCTGCGTGGAGAATGGATGGGTCGGAGGGGCCTGCCCCGAAGTTTGGTCCCAGGATCTTCTCGCAGACGGTACAGGAAAGAGACTCTTCCAGCTTTAGATGTACCAGTGTTGCCTGTAACTACAACTGAAATCCGCCAATATTTGCGCACCCATGGGATCCCCTTCCAGGATGGCCACAGCTGCCTGCGGGCACCCAGCCCCTTTGCAGGGACCTCACAGCAAAAGGATCCTGTTGGTATTGCCACTCCCTTCAGCCTCTTCATTGACAAGACCACCGGTCGCTTCCTCTGCATGGCCAGCTTGGCAGAGGGGAGTTGGGAAGACTTCCAAGCCAGTGTGGAGGGGCGAGGGGATGTGACTAAGGAGGGGGTTCTGCTTAGTGAAACGCCAGAAGCTGTGGATAGTGAGGAGGTCCGGAGGATCTGGGACCGAGCCATACCTCTCTGGGAGCTACCTGATCCCCAGGAGGTCCAGTTGGCTCGTGTGATGTTTGCCCTCACTAAAGTGACAGATGACACACTCAAGCGTTTCAGTGTGCGGTATCTACGACCTGCTCGCAGTCTTGTTTTCCCTTGGTTTTCCCCTGGAAGCTTGGGATTACGTGGCCTGAAGCTATTAGGGGCTGAAGGTCAGGGGGATGGAGTGCATTATGTTGAGACCACCATTCCCCGGCCTAGTGCCTACCACAATCTGTTTGGATTACCATTGATCAATCGCCGAGATGTTGAAGTGGTATTGACTAGTCGTGAGCTGGACAGCCTGGCTTTGAACCAGTCCTTAGGGCTGCCCACCCTTGCCCTGCCCCGGGGAACCACCTGCTTACCCCCTTCTTTACTTCCTTACCTGGAACAGTTCAGACGTATTGTGCTTTGGCTAGGGGATGATCTTCGGTCCTGGGAAGCTGCCAAGTTGTTTGCCCGAAAACTGAACCCCAAACGATGCTCTTTGGTGCGGCCTGGAGACCAGCAGCCCCATCCCTTGGAGGCCTTGAACCGTGGCTTAAATCTTTCTCGTATCCTGCGTTCTGCCCTGCCTGCCTGGCACAAGTCTATTGTGTCTTTCCGGCAGCTTCGGGAGGAGGTGCTAGGAGAACTATCAAATGTGGAGCAAGCAGCAGGCGTCCGCTGGAGTCGCTTTCCAGACCTTAATCGACTCTTAAAGGGGCATCGCAAGGGCGAGCTGACAGTCTTCACAGGTGACCCTTTGGGAAATGATCTCTGGGGGTAAAGGGGCAAAGGTTCAGGTGACCAAAGCATATGGGTTTGGGCCATTGTAGATGTTGAAGAGGAGGGTTCCATCCTAACTCTGAAGACTTGACATGTTCTTGGTGGTTTCAAGGGTAGAACTTTTCTCTCTCACTCTGTGTTCATTCCTCCTGCAGGGCCAACAGGCAGTGGAAAGACAACATTCATCAGTGAGTATGCCCTGGATTTGTGTACCCAGGGGGTGAACACACTGTGGGGTAGCTTTGAGATCAGCAACGTGAGACTTGCCCGGGTCATGCTGACACAGTTTGCAGTGGGACGGCTGGAAGAACAACTGGACAGATATGAAGAATGGGCTGACCGCTTTGAGGACCTGCCCCTCTATTTCATGACTTTCCATGGGCAACAAAGCATCAGGTGAGGTCCCCAGACCCAAACCACTTTCCCAGATGGATCCAAGCACTCAGGACCTTGGGTTGTTTTTCCAGCCAGTGAGAACTAGGTTGCCAGACTTAAGGTTTTCACAAAAAATACAAGGGTAGAAGAACTGGCTCCTAACAGATTTTAGAATGCTGACTCTTCTGCCGGGAATGGTCTGGAGAGTGCCTTGAATCCAATGCTCTTCCTTTTCCCAGGACTGTTGTAGATACCATGCAACATGCAGTCTACGTCTATGACATTTGTCATGTGGTTATCGACAATCTGCAGTTTATGATGGGTCACGAGCAGCTGTCCACAGACAGGTGACATTCCCCCTCCTGTTGAAGTAGAGCCCAGTTGAGCACACATGTCTTCTCAGGCAGCTGGCCTCATGCCCACACAGTGTACTCACTTGTTTTCTGAGCTGTGTGCAGGCACATGTACAAATTTGGCTTTATACAGATGTGGGGTGGGGCATTGGGAAGTATGGACAGGACCTTAGTGGGAATCCATAGGATAAGGGAGGTAGAGTGGGGGTTGGGTGATTTGGGGGGAGATAGGAGTGATTGAAGAGGGTATGCATGTTCTTGTTCTTTTGTCTATGTTCAATAACCTCTTTGTTGGGCTGGGGCAGGATTGCAGCTCAAGACTATATCGTTGGGGCATTCCGGAAGTTCGCTACAGACAACAACTGTCATGTGACACTGGTCATTCACCCCCGGAAGGAGGATGATGACAAGGAACTACAGACTGCATCCATTTTTGGTTCAGCCAAAGTGAGTGGCCTTTGGAGGATCCCAACCTGTGGGGAGTAAGAGAGGAAAGGTGTGACCAGGACAACCTTGATGATCCTGGGGAGGCAGGAGGTAGCTACCCTTGGAACCATGACGTGAGGAACATAAGAGGAGGCTTCAAAAAGTTCATGGAGAAGGGAAACAATGTATATTTATTTTCTTATTTAAAAAAAAAAAAAAAAAGCTTATACATTTTATTTGTGTTTGAAACCTGAAGATCTGATTACTACAGTAGCATCTTATGTGTTGTTAAGGCATGTTTAATATAAGATGGTCTGACCTCTTATTCCATCTTAATAATTTTATTATCTCTAATAACATGGCTTCTATAATGATGACTTACGATATTTAGGATTGTTTTTGAAGACTCCCTTGTATAGTAAGCTTAAAAAAAAAAAAAGTTTGTGGAAAAAAATTCTCTTTTTCTAAAAACGAACTTTCTGAGGCCACCTAGTATATGCTACCCAGGAGAAAGATGAGACTTTGTGACTCGTCAAAAGATTTACAGCCTTGGAAACCCTATACAGGGCTGCTAAGAGTTGAAATTAACTCGATGGCACTTAACAGTGTGCTAAGTCTGTATGGGTTGATGAATTACAAGGTCAGCAGTTCAGGCTCACCAGCTGCTCCTTGGAAACCCTATACAAGGTTGCTATGTGCCGGAATCAACTCGACAGCATTTAACAACAACAACAACCTTCCTTTAGTCTGGGAAATAATTAAACAGTAATTCCAACTCACTATGATACAAACTGGAGCCCTGATGTGGTGCTGTAGGATAAGCACCAGACCACAAGGTCAGTTTGAATCTCAAGGTTGGTGGTTCAAACTCACCAGTCTCTCCTTGGAAACCCTATACAGAGTCACTATGAGTCAGAACCGACTCAACAGCACTAACACCAACAAATGATACAAGCTGTGGTTGACAGCATGGGTATTTGGTGAGCACAGAGAAAATATGAGTCAGCCTGGGACATGAAGAGACTTCCCAAATAATTTGTCAACAAAGGTTGGTTTGAGTTTTAACAGATAGTAGGTTAGATAATCAAATAAATGGGAGGATCTTCGGGGCAGAAAGACCAGCCTGATCCTGAAACTCCCAGGTGTACATGGAGTGCCTATTACATGTCAGGTCTGAGCAGGGCACAGGGAATACAAGGTGAGGAACTATGATGGAGCTATGATGGAACAAGGAGCTGGGGAAGAGAATACAGATAGTCCCTGGATTATGAATCAGATCCATTCCTGACTGTCTTCAAGAATTTGTAGGTCAGAAGGAACGGTCAGTGCATATGGTTCTTATTTAGCCTTACTTTAGGGCAAGAAAAGCTTCTAAGCCTTTTCAGTGACTTACAAGGGGCACATGTAACAATTAAAGGTGTTTGTGATAAAGACTTTGTTGCAAGTAGGGGTTGGCTAAGTCATTTCAGAGAAAGGGCACATTTCTATAACATTAAAGCACAGCTTCAAAAATGGCAGCATTTTGCTCAAGTATGGTGGCAGACTGTACTGCTTTGAATGTGTGTGACTCTCCACACACATTCAATAGTCTAGTCTCAGGCATCAGGCTCCTGAAAAGAATTGCTGTGCCCATTCTTCTGAGTTTCCCATTCCAGGTCTTTGACCTGTAATTTTACCCATGCCAGTTACCATTATTGTAACAATTCTGGTCTGTTCTATTTCACTTCATTGGCCATGATAGAACTGGTTTGAAGCCCTGCACTAAAGGGCAAGTAAAGTCTAAGTCAAGAGTTCATTACCCAGAATTGCTTAAAATGTGGAAGTGGAAAGTAACCTCTTCCTTTATTTATAGGATGGTCGAGAATGGTCTCTTATAAAGTTTGATAATTAGGTTGAGACCTGCATGATGAGAAGAAACTGGGGGTAGATGGGGTGGCCAGCTGTGGAGAATTACTACAAGTAGAGGGAGCAACATGTACAAAGTCTGAGATAGCTGCAAGTTTGTTGTCAAGGAACTGAAAGACAAGAGTGGCCCCAGCATCCTTGTCAGTAGTTGAAAGAGCTCTGGTGATGGGGAGGTACTTTTTCCTTCTCCCATTCTTGCCACTTCTCCCAGCTTTCCTTTCTGCTTCTTTCATGTTTTCTCACACCTGCCTTCTTCCTCCCCAATCCCCAGGCAAGCCAGGAAGCGGACAACGTTCTGATCTTACAAGACAGGAAGCTGGTAACTGGGCCAGGGAAACGGTATCTTCAAGTGTCCAAAAACCGCTTTGATGGAGATGTAGGTGTCTTCCCACTTGAGTTCAACAAGAGCTCCCTCACCTTCTCCATCCCACCAAAGAGCAAGGCCCGACTGAAAAAGATCAAAGATGACAATGGACTAGTGGCCAAAAAGCCCTCTTCTGGCAAAAAGGGAGCTATGCCCCAGAACTCTGAAACATGCCTGGGCCAGTCCCCAGACCCCTAGCACTTGGGCACTTACCAGCCTTCAGGGTAAAGGCAGTGCAGAGCTGGATACAGAAGTGAGCCTGATGGGCTAGGCTGAGGCAGAGATTCTTTCCTGGTCTTCTGACCACTAACAGTGGTCTGGAACTGTGGACCCTTCTCAGTGGGAAGGGCCTAGGTTAGAGCAGTGTCCACAGTGACAGAAGGCTACCTGAGAACCTACTCTGGATTTGTGCTGGGTCCTTGGTTAGAGCACTGAGCATGACAGATGCAGCCCTTGCTTCCATGGTGGGGGAGATGAGACAAGCAAGGAACAAATAAATTGAATGCACTTTTAGATAGTCAGAAGCGTAATAAAGAACAGAGCAGTGAAGTGATAGAGAAGACCCAGAGAACTAGGAGCAAGCCATGCAGATATTTGGAGGAGTAAATGCAGAGGCCCTGACTAAGTTAAGTTTAAGGCAGTGGGGTCAGGCCCCTGAACCTGGAAGGAAACGAGGTGTTTCTTGACAAAACTCCAGCCAAGGCTGTCACAGTTCTGCTCCCCACTTGATCCTGTCATGAAACCTCATCTACTAGAATTGGTATCCTAGGTGCTTGGCCTTGGGAATGTTAGAGTCAAAATGTGGGAGCTACTTCCCATGGATTGCTTGGCAATAGAGGTGTAAAAGGAAGCTATGAGACCACCGTGCCTGCCCCCTCAACACGAATTCGAGGGCAGGTAGTGGTTCATGAGTGAATGCAGCCACTTTTGGAGCATTTTCCAGTTTAACTGAAAAAAAAAAACCAAGTATTTTTCCCATGCTTTTGTTTCTGTGCTTTTTCGTATTTGTCCACCAGGTGTCCCCAGCCTATAACTGGACTCCTTAACTTTGATTTGGGGCCTTGCCACCATTTCCAGCATTTGAGCAGTAGGTTCCCAAGGGAGCAGTGCACCCCACCCCACCTATTCTGGGCCTAGGAAAGGCCGGATGGTGTGTCTTTAGCACTAACTTCCCTGAGGCTCTTCATGTGACCAGCTGCCCCTCTGATGGAGCCCATTCAACTGGTCCCCCTCAGTGCACTCATCCATTTTTTCTGGGTCCTTAGCTTCTCTCTGTTGTTAGTGAACCCTGCATCTCCTAGGGATCTTAATCAAAATGCAGAAGAGAATGGAGGCCCTGGGATATAAGATCAAAATGTGGGAGCTACCTTCCATCATAGCACCCCTATCCTGCCATACATTTATAATTCTGAAATTTGGGGTGGGGTACAGGAATCCTCACTTTTTAGCAGGCTCTGAAGGAAACTAAAATATGTGACCCTGAGACCCTGTCAGAAGTATCCCTAAATGATACCTCATTTCTGTCTCACTTGCTCTCCTAAAGGTCACCCCCAATTCCCTCTAGATTTACCTATTTGTTTTTTATAGTGGTGAGAACACAAGCTATTCTGAGGGGCCTGGGGGAAGCTCTTTTTAAGGGTGGAGTAATTAAAAGTTTTCCTGCTCCCTGGAAGCAGGGCTGCCTAGTCAAATTCTCCCTGTCAACCCACAGGATGTTTCTGGAGCCCTGTGGAAGGGTCTGGGGTCTCTGGTCTGCAAAGTGTGGGAAAAGTGGCCACAAATATCTCTTGGGAAGGCCATAAAACAAAGCTCCTGCAAGTTAGCTGGAGCCAGGCCTCCCTAATCCTGCAGTAATCATTACCAGCCGCTGGCTGGTCTAGGCCTCATCCAGGATCTATAGCATTGGACGTCAGCCCTGCCTTCCAGACTCACAGAACACAGGTCAGTTCTGCCCCCTAAGGACGTGGCCTCCACAGACTGGTCTAGAAGCCAAATGTATTCTCAGGAAATCCTCAGAGGATTCCAGACATAATGTAAGGTCTCTGTGAGAATTGGAGATACAGGGATACATACTTGCCTGCTTGTGTTCCCTTACCCTCCTAGCAGACACCCCCACACAGCCCTAACTAGAATGATTAGGGAGAGGAAAAGCCAAATACCCCCAGCCCCACCCTCTAGGCAAACATTCCATTCCACACTTGCCTTAAACTCAACATATCAAGAGTTAACCCAAAATATGCACAGGAGTCCCTGGAGCCTGGAAAGCAGTGGTGGCCCCCCTGGGTCCTGTGTAAGGTCCTTGGAAAAGCACTGTCTGCATCCAGCCAAAGCGTACTGAGGCACGTTAAGTGTGATAGACCCTACTTTGCCCATGTCCAGTTAGATGAGGGCTTGGAGAGCCTGGCCAAGCAAGGTACAGTTGGATTTGCAGCCCTGTCCTCAGATTGATAGTCACACTTGGTGTGTGTGGGGGGGTTGGGGGGGCGTTTTGGTCTGCAGCAGTTTCCACTCTACTGTGCATAGCTTCCGAAAGAGGGCCGTTTTGGTCTGCGGCAGTTTCCACTCTTATAGCTTCCGAAAGAACTAAATTCCTTGAAGTCGCCCTGAGCCCAAAGACTCAGGCTGCAAGTATGTCTCATCTCCTTGCAGACACAGGTTGCACTGGATGCCAGGGAGGGAGGGAGTCCTTGGTGCCTCCCTGAAATACAGGCCAACTTCCTGTTTGTGCTTGTAGGAGGGACTTTATGAGTCTAAGGGAAGCTTGGCCATGCCCAGAACACTCAGGCTTCCCCACCTGGGCAGACACCTATTGAAGCAAAGAGGATGGTGTTGGTTCTGCTTGGGCAGCCTCAAAATGAAGTGGAGGGAGAGCTGTTTTGGTGAAATTCTAGCCGCCTTTGTCTACTTCCCATGGATTTTCCCTGTTTGGGGAGTGGACCGAATTGAGCTCCCTAGGGACCGCGGGAAGGTGGCCGAGTCAAGCCAGTTTAGCTCTTGGTAAGGTGCTACTCGCCCCTTACCTTGGTTAAAAACCAAGTTCAGGAAGCTGGTGAAATTAGTGGCCGGAGGAGCAGTCTCCGGCTGTGGTCCACTTTCTGTAGTGCCAGGTACTGAGTTGGCTAACTTGAGGGGGTGTTGAACAGACCACTCACTCCCCTCCCCGAATCGGGGGCGCGGCCTTAGCCGCCCCGCCCCGCCTCACCAAGCTTGGCCAGGCGGGAGCCTGGAGCCCGGAGCCCGGAGCGGATTTGGGAGCCGCGAGGTCTTCGGCTCGGAGCGGTCCGCGTTGGAACTGGAGGCGGGCCGGAGCTGGAGTGGTGTTGCAGGTGGTAGTGGGTGAGTAGTGGGGCAACGGAGGTGTAGGAACCCGCGCCTCCGACACATTCCGTCTCTGAAGAGAACTTTCCCTGTCCCGGGAAGCTGGGGGCTGGAGCGAGGAGGAGGGGTCTCCACTACGCGAGGGACAGGCAAGGGAGTCTGCACCGGGAGGCGACAAGAAAAGTCACACCGATGGGCCCTCACGCGTGCCTACAGATACACTTGGGAGACACGAACACACGTGCATTCAGGAAAGGAGGCGCCCTGGGGGGTTACCCTGACAGTCAAGGCTCAGCGCCACGGGCCTGCACGGCCCCCACCCCAGAGTCAGGGCACTGTGCGGTCGCGTACTTGGCGGGGGTGGGGAAGAGGGACAGCCCCGTGACCGCCGATGGGGGCTGGCCGGGTGGGACGCTTGCTTCCGGAGGTTCCTGCTTCCCCTCCGCCAGCAGGTGAAGACTAAGACGTAAACAGGCGTCGAGCACGTGATCTTACGGTCGCCTAGTGGCTGAACTTCCCTGACTCCCGCCTTTCGCTAAGGCTCCCCCCTCCCATGCCCCGTCTAATTTACCCTACGGGCTGTATTCCATTCTACTTTCTACACCTGGAACCTCTCCCAGAAATGGGAGCACAGCACCCCCTAGAGCCAGGGTAGCGCAGAATGGGAGCACTTCGGCAGGGATGGGATTACCTGAGCTCCTGGCTTTTCCTCCCGCGATCACAAACGTGGTGCCCCCCCCGCCCCCC